AGGTGACCCAAGGGAGTGATCCAGCTAGCCTCAGCATCCCCACCACCATGGCCAGTCAGTCACAGGATTTACAGCAGCTTCTATAGGCTGGGAAGTGGGTGCCCAGAAAGTGTCCAAGGTCCACAAGCAAAAAGAAATGGAAGCTGAAGCAGGCCAAGGCAGCTCAAGCTGAAATAGAATAGTACAGCCTAAAAAGAGAGAAAAGTGTCCAAGGCTGAAGAAATTGCAGCTCTGGGATCCCATGGCAGGGGTAGTACTGAAGTGGAGAAGGATACTCAAGAGATGATGACCATCCTCCAGCCCTAATTCCAAAACAGGGATTAAGTCCTACATAACCTCTTGGCCTTTGAGACATCAACCAGAAATCCATAAAAACTACCACATAAATGGACAGGGGAAGAAGAAAGAAGTGCTTGTTCCAAGGATTGGAATTTTGGATGCCTTCATGGAATATGAAATTTTAGCAAAGCCTGAATTATATTCTTGTGAAAAGGCAGTAAATTCTTTCTGCATATTATACAGTAGGTCCTTTTACTTTTTGGAGAATAATAAATCTAGCTTCTTTGTATGAACTTAAAGCTTATCCTAATGTAAATGGTAACTATAGTTAATAATACTGTACTTATTTGCAAACTGCTAAAAGAACAAATCTTAAAAATTCTCATCACAAGAAAAGAAATTCTGTAACTATATATGGTGATGTTAACTAGACTCATTGTGGTAATCATTTCACAACATATACAAATATCAAATCACCATGTTGAACCACTGAAACTAATAGAATGCTGTATATCAATTATACCTCAATTTTTTAAAAACACACACACACACAAAAGAGCTTACCTAAAGATTTCATTTTTTTACCTTGTATTTCTTAGAAATTTAGTACGTATACATTGTCTGGTTCCCTATGTCTTTTTTTTTTTTTCCACGCAGAACGTGCCCCCTTTAATACCCATCACCAAGCTAACCCATCCCCCCACCCCCCTCCCCTCTAGAACCCTCAGTTTGTTTTTCAGAGTTCCCTATGTCTTTTAACTCAAGCAACATATACATCAAAAGTGACTTTTTCTTTATTAGATGTAAAATAAATGTTCTGAAAAAAAGGGGGGGGAATTACATGGTTTTCCCCCCTAAAGCTTTCTTGAGGATCAGCGGCTTTATCTATGAGAAAGTAGTAAATAGTTATTTGTAACCTGTGTTAAGCAGCAGACAGCCTTAAAATAGTCTTTTCTGGCTAAGAGTTAGAACAATAGGGGCGCCTGGATGGCTCAGTCAGTTGAGCACCTGATTCTCGATTTTTGGCTCGGGTGGTGATCTTGGAGACCTGCCTTGGGCTCCATGTTGAGTGTGGAGCCTCCTTGGGATTCTCTCTCTCCTTCTCCCCTCTGCCCCTTGCACACATGCATGTGCTCTCTCTCTCTCTCAAATAAATAAGTACATACATACATACACACTAGTATAACTGTTTGGGCTGCTTTTAGTTCCTCTTAATCAAAATTACTCTATGACAGAATTCAAGAACTGGTTACATGTTATTACATGTTATTATTGGGTATACTGATAATCATTTAAAAGTAAAGACTACCATGCTCAAGAACAAAATAAAACAAAATAAAATAGATGGGAGAGCCAGTATATAGTCTAGTGATTCAGAGTATAACTGCCAAATTATCTCACACTTACAAACTTTGTGACCCTAAACAAGTGATCACATTATTAATTTAACAAATGGTTACAATTTAAAGGAGTTATAGTTGGTTTACATGAATAACATTTTAAAGGAAGGGCTAAAAAGGTCATTATAATTACAGAACTGGTAAATCTTTAGAGTGAAAAAAAGAGAGAATATATTTTTTTAATTATATACAAAAACAATATAAAATTTCAAAGGTAGGAAAGGTCCCTGACCCATTGTGATGAAAACTGACCATGTAGAGATTGATCAAAAGACTCTTTAAGGCATTTAAGACTATGGCACCCCTATCCCAAGTCATAGAGACTGCTCCTAGAGAGGGTAAAAAAGATCTCTAGACTAGGGGATGCCAGAGTACAGCTAAAGTGGAGATAACATACTGAAAATAGGAGGAAGAAATAAATTCCTAATTCCCAAATGCTGACCACATACATATTACTCTCTTTTCCAGAAATACCACCGACTAGGCCTATACTCTCCTAGAAAGAAGACAAGAAAATCTTTCTTTGAGCAATCTTACTACCTTAACAGAAAAGACCTAAGGATATTAACACAAGAGTTTCTCCAATTAAACAGCCCATTTGAGACTGTATCCACAGTCTCAGAGTTTCAACCAGCTTTCTAGTTCCCCTCTCTTAACTATAACAAGATACCTGAGAAAAGCTTCTAACAAAAAGGCACATCAAACAAACAAAAAAATGCAATGCATTGACTATGAAGAGAGACAAAAACTTCAAAAAAGCTATCATTAATATCCTAAGATAATACCTGTGTAGTAAGAATAGGATTCTATAACAAGAAATATTCATAGGATAAAAAACAACTCTTAGAAATTTAAAATATGATAGTGGAAATGAAAGACAGTAGAACGAATGGAAGATAAAGTTAAGAAAATCTCTTCCAAAAGTAAAACATCAGTACAAAGAAATCAATGAAACACACAGGAGAAAAAAAGAAGAGCCCAGTTAGTCTAACAAACTAGCAGTTCCAGAAGGAGAAAAGAGAGAAAACAAAGGAGGGAGGGGGAAGGGATAATCAAAGAAATAAATTAAGAAAAATTTCCAGGGATGCCTCGGTGGCTCAGTCGATTAAAGCCTCTGCCTTCGGCTCAAATCATGATCCCAGTGTCCTGGGATCAAGTCCCTCATCGGGCTCCTTGTTCAGTGGGGAGCTGCTTCTCCTTCTGCCTGACGCTCCCCCTGCTTGTGCTCTCTCTCTCTCTCTCTCTCTGATAAATAAATAAAATCTTTAAAAAAAAAAAAAAAGAAAAAGAAAAATTTCCAGAACTTAATGATAAGAGCTTCTGGATGGAAAGAACCCAATACAATGAATAAAACAGACATACAACAAGGCATTATCTTTATGAAATTTTAGAATACAGGGATAAAGATGCTGCAAGCTTCCAGAGAAGGATGATAAACAATGAATGAAAATGGTTTTAGATTTCTCAATAGAAGCTGGAAGGTAAATGAGCAATTCCTTCAAATTTCTGAATGAAAATTATTTCCAACCTATAAACTTCTACCCAGGTAAAGCATCAATCAAGTATGACAGTGAAATAAAAACATTTTCAGATCAGCATTGTCTAAAATAATTTTTGTAATGGAGGATGTTCTCTAACATAACAGAGAAATAAACCAGGAAAGAGGAAGAAGTGAGGGGAAAAGCATTATAGTGAGAAGTATTTGCAGGATGTAAAGGCAAACAGCTCAGAGGCCTGAGGAGAAATTATTTTTCAAAGAAGATAAAATCATGTGAGACCACTATTTCTAGGATCTCATGTCTTTCTCTTTCTTGGTTTACACCTCTGTTAGTTAGAACATTAACATATCCCAATGTAGAGGAGAAATTTAAGTAACCGTAGGAGTTAGGGGTTGATCTGATGAAAAATGGTAAAGAAAACAAAAAAAGGCCACAAGAGAAAAGAAAATGTTGTACAGGAAAGATAAAGCAATATTTGTATACTACATGGCTTAGTTCTTTTTTTTTTTTTTTAAAGATTTTATTTATTTGAGAGAGGGAGAATGAGAGATAGAGAGCATGAGAGGGAAGAGGGTCAGAGGGAGAAGCAGACCCCTGCTGAGCAGGGAGCCTGATGTGGGACTCGATCCCAGGACTCCAGGATCATGACCTGAGCCGAAGGCAGTCGCTTAACCAACTGAGCCACCCAGGCGCCCCACGTGGCTTAGTTCTAAATAACATGTGTGTAGTAATAACAGACACTCTGAATTATCTGAAACTTCAACATAGTTATACAGATTTAATAGCAAAATGGAAAAAGATATGTGTGAGGGTAGGGGTGGGTGAGAAAGGTAGGTGGAGAGAGCTAAATTCTCATCTCTATAGTAAAAGTCAACAGATAATGCCTAAAACTGAAAAATCAAGATGTAGCAATATCTGTATGGTTTCCAGAGTTATAGAAGTAAATACAAAAATCAATCTCCTAGAGAAGTTGAAAATGGTTGCTTTTAGGGAAAGGGAACAAAGGAACAAACAAATCTGCTATTTTTCAAAATAATTCTTATTTTTTTTAAAGATTTTATTTATTTATTTGAGAGAAAGAATGAGAATGAGAGAGAGAGAGAGAGAGCATGAGATGGGGGAGGGTCAGAGGGAGAAGCAGACTCCCTGCCGAGCAGGGGGCCCGATGTGGGACTCGATCCTGGGACTCCAGGATCATGACCTGAGCCAAAGGCAGTTGCTTAACCAACTGAGCCACCCAGGTGCCCTCAAAATAATTCTTTAAAGTTTGATTTTTAAATATATATAAAACTTTTTATTTTAATCTTCTTCCATTGATTTCTTTGTACCAATGTTTACCTTTCATGTGCTCTGAGTTTTTCATTCCATTAGAAATAAACAAAATGGTACAAAAGTATGTATGTTTTAAAATTAAAGGTATGAGTTACAATAGCGATATATTGAGACAGATGGTAGCTACACCTGCGGTGAACGTAGCATAATACATAAACTTGTTGAATCATTGTTACACACCTGAAACTAATATAATATTGTATTAACTATACTAAAAAAAAAAACCAAAGGTATGAAAGACAAAATGCTTTCCCCCGGAGATCAAGAATAAAACAGATGTTGGGGTGCCTGAGTGGCTCAGTCAGTTAAGCGTCTGACTCTTGATTTCAGCTCAGGTTATGATCTCAGGGTCGTGGGATCTAGCCCCACACTGGGCTCTGTGCTCAGCGCAGAGTCTGCTTGAGATTCTCTCTCCCTTTCCCTCTGTCCCTTCCTCTGCTCACACGCTCTCTAAATAAATAAAATCTTTTAAAAAAAGAATAAAACAGATGTCCTACTCACTTTGGCAGCACATATACTAAAACTGGAAGGATACAGAGAAGATGAGCATGGCCCCTATACAAGGATGACATGCAAATTCATCAAGTGTTCCAAATTTTTATGAAATAAAAACTAAAAAACAACAACAACAACACACACACAAAAAAGGAATAAAGCAGGGATGCCTGGGTGGCTCAGTCAGTTAAGCGACTGCCTTCAGCTCATGATCCTGGGGGTCCTGGGATCAAGTCCTGCATCAGGCTCCTTGCTCAATGGGGTGCCTGCTTCTCCCTCTGCCTCCTATTGCCCCCTGGTTGTGCTTTCTCTCTCTCTCTCTCTCTCTCTGACAAATAAATAAAATCTTTAAAAATAAATAAATAAATAAAGCAGAGGTCTACTCTCAACATTTTAACATTTACTGGAGGCCTCTGTGAGTGCAATAAGGCAAGAAAAAGAAATAAAAGGTATATCGATTAAAACAGAAAAAAATAGCATGAAGATATATAGACCAAAAGAACAGCATGAAGAGCCCAGAAACAAGCCCTCATATATATATATATACTCCAGTGATCTTCGACAAGGGTGCCAAGAAAACACAAAAGAGAGGATAGCCTCTTCAATAAATGGTGCTGGGAAAACCAGATATTCACATGCAAAAGAATGAAAATGTACCCTTGTCTTATACCATATTCAAAAATTAACTCAAAATGGAGATCTAAATGTAAGACCTGCAACTATAAAACTACCAGAAGAAAATACAGGAGGAAAACCTTCATGACACTAGAATAGGCAATGATATCTTGGATGTGACACCAAAAGAATAAGTAACAAAAGCAAAAACAGACAAATAGAACTACATCAAACTTAAAAGTTCTGTTCAGGGGTGCCTGGGTGGCTCAGTCAGTTAAGTATCTGCCTTCGGCTCAGGTCAGTCCCACATCTGGCTCCCTGCTAGGTGGGGAGCCTGGTTCTTCCTCTTCTCCCTGCCAGTGTTTTCTCTCACTATCTCTGCCTCTCTCTCTCAAATAAATAAAATCTTAAAATAATTTTTTTAAATAAATAAAACTTCTGTTCAGCAAAGGAAACAAAAGAGTGAAAAAGCAACCCAGGAAATGGGAGAAACATTTGCAAACCATAATCTGATAAGGGTTTAATATTCAGAATATATAAAAAAACTCCTCAACTCAATAATTAAAAAAATATAATGGGCAAAAAACATACAGAAATTTTTCCAAAGATATACCAATGGCAAACAAACATATGAAAAGATGCCCACCATCATCATCATCATCATCATGAGAAATGCAAATCAAAACTGCAATGAGATATCACTTCAGATCCCTTACAATGGCAACTAGCCAAAACCAAAACCAAAACCAAAGAAAATAACAAGTGTTGGTGAAGATGTGGAGAAACTGGAACCCGTACCCACTGTTGGTGGGATTGTAAAATGGTGCAGCAGCTATGGAAAACAGAATGGAGGTACCTTAAAAATGAAAAACAGAACTGCCATATGATCCAGCAATCCCAGTTCTAGGTATATATCCAAAAGAATTGAAAACAGAATCTCCAAGAGGTATTTACAAACCCATATTCATTATGGCATTATTCACAATTGACAAGATGTAGAAGCAACCTAGTTGTTCAACAACAGATAAATGGATAAAGAAAATGTGGTACATAGATAAGAAGGAATATTAATTGGCCTAAAAAAGGGGGGGAGGGAAGAAAGCACATCATAGGCTATAACAAACATTAACCTTAAGGACATTATGCTCAGTGAAATAAGCTAATCACAAAAGACAAAAACTGCATAATTCTACTTACATGGAGTATGTAAAGTAATCAAACTCATAAAAACAGAAAGTAGATGTGGTTGCCAGAGATGAGGGGAGGGAAAAATGGGGAGTTGTTATTCAATGTATACCGAATCTCATTCATGCAGGATGAAAAAATTCCAGAGATCTATTGTACAACAATGTGTATATAGTTAACAATATCATAATGTACACTTAAAGTTGTTTAGAGATTAAATTTATGTGTGTTCTACAATAAGAGAGAAGTCAAGAGTGAAGGGAGAAAAAAACAAAAACAGAAATTACTTCTAAAATAAAGATAACATGAATGTTTATGAAGAAAGCACTGAAGAATCTACAAAATAGCTACATGGCCTAATAAATGAGTTAGCAAGATGCATCTTTTCCATGCTATTTGGTGCTACATTTTTCACATTTTTGTGCTTTTTGTTGCCGATTTCACTGTTTCAAATGGCCCCCAGCATAGTGCTGAAGTGCTGCCCTGTGTTCCTATGGGCAAGAAAGCTGCAATGTGTCAAATGGAAAAAAATGAATCTAACAAAATACATACAGGATATTTATCCTGGAAACTGCAAGTTACTGATGAAAGAAATCAAAGATGACTAAAACAAATGAAGAGAAAAAAAAATGAAGAGACCTGCTGTGTTGAAGACTCTTTCTTAAGGTTTCAGTTCTCCCCAGCTGATCTATAGATTTAATGCAATTCTATCCAAAATCCCAGCAATCTGGGTTTTTTTTTGTAAAAAATGACAAGCTGATTCAAAAAATTTGTAAGGAAAAAAATAATAAAATAACAATAAAATTTATAAGGAAAGGCAAAGGAACTGCAATAGTCAAGATAATTTTAAAAGCAAAATACAAAGTTAAAGGACTAACACTATCTGACTTCAAGACAGTATAAAATTTCATAATCAAGAGAGTGAGGTATGGCAAAAGGATTAACATATAACCCCATGTAAAGAGAAGACAGTCTAGAAATAGACCCAGGCATAATACAGCCAACTAATTTTCTACAAAGTTGCAGATTCAATGCAACTTCTACAAAGTTGCAAGTCAATGGAAACAGGATAGTCTTTTGAACAATTGGTGTTGAAACAACTGGACATTCATATGCAAAAATAGGAACCTCAACCAATACCCCACACCTTATATAAAAATTAACTCTAAATGAATCACAGACCTAAATGTGAAAACTGAAACTATAGAAAAGCTATAAGAAAAGTTAAGAGAAAAATCTTTGTGACCTTGGTTTCTTAAAAGTTTTCCTAGGGACAACATCAAAAGTTTATCTAAAAAACTATAAAAAAGAAAGAAAATAAATTGGCCTTTAACAAAATTTTTAAATTTTGCTCTGTGAAAGACACTGTAAAGAATATAAATTTTGGGAGCCTGGGTGGCTCAGTCATTAAGCGTCTGCCTTCGGCTCAGGTCATGATCCCAGGGTCCTGGGATGAAGCCCCGCATCAGGCTCCCTGCTCTGCGGGAAGCCTGCTTCTTCCTCTCCCACTCCCCCTGCTTGTGTTCCCTCTCTCACTGTGTCTCTCTCTGTCAAATAAATAAAATCCTTTAAAAAAATTTTAAGAATATATTTTTTTTAAATTTTATTTATTTATTTGAGAGAAAGTGAGAGAGCACGAGAGGAGGGAGGGTCAGAGGGAGAAGCAGACTCCCTGCTGAGCAGGGAGCCCGATGTGGGACTCAATCCTGGGACTCCAGGATCATGACCTGAGCCAAAGGCAGTCGTTTAACCAACTGAGCCACCCAGGTGCCCTGACACTGTAAAGAATATAAAGCCACACACACACACACACACACACACACACAAACACACAAGAAAAACCACAGACTGAGAGAAAAAATTAACAAGACTTGTATCCAGAATATATAAAGAATCTATACTTAAAATTCAATAAGAAAACAAACTTATTTTAACATGAATAAAACATCGAATAGGCACTTCACTGAAAAAGATATGCAGATGGTAAATAAACACATTAAAAGATGCTCAATATTATTAGACCTTAAGGAAATGCAAAATTAAAATCACAGTGTGGTACTACACATCTATTAGCATAGCTAAAATAAAAAATAACTGAGACTACCAAATATTAGAATTTTCATACATTGCTGGTGGGAATACAAAATGGCACAGCCACTTTGGAAAACAGATATGCAGTTTCTTAGAAAGAAAAACATACACTTAACATAACAACCCAACAATCACATTACCAGGTAATTACTCAAGAGAAATGAAAACTTAAACTACTTAATTTTGTGAATGTTTATAGTAGCTTTATTCATAATCGCCAAAAACAACCCACATGTCCTTCAACTAGTGAATGGGTAAATAAATTATGGTACTTCATTACAATGGAATACTATTCAGTAATAAAAAGGAATGAACTACTAATAGATGCAAAAACATGGACGAATGTTGCTACAGATTGTATCCCCCCCAAAATTCATATGTTGAAATCCTAATGCCCAATGTGATGGTATTAGGAGTAGGGCTTTTGGGACATGCTTAGGTCATGAGGGTAGAGCTCTCATGAGAGAGATTATGGCTTTTATAAGAGACCGCCCCCCCACCACCACCACTGAGCTACCTTGCCCCTTTCCCCGAGGGAGGTTACAGTGAAAGATGGCCATCCATGAACACAGAAGTGGGTCCTCCTCACCAAACACTGAAACTGCTGACATCTTGATCTTGGACTTCCCAGTCTCCAAGAAGGAAATTTCTGTTGTTTCTAAGCCACCCAGTTTATGGTATTTTGTTAGAGCAGCCTGAACTACACTAAGACAAATGTCAAATGCAGTATGTGAAGTGAAAGAAGCCAAAGACTGCACAATTCCATTTACATGACATTCTAGAAAAAGCAACATTAGCAATGAAAAACAGTTCAATGGTTGCCCAAGACTGAGGGTATAAGAGGGACTGACTAGAGGGCCATAAGGAAATTGGGGGCAAGGGGGGGGTGATGAAACTGTTCCAACTCATGATGGTGGTGGTGATAGTGATTTGGCTACGTTTGTTAAAACACACAAAGCTATACACCAAGAAAAACACAAATGTTACTGTATATAAATTATATCTCAATTAAAAAACTGAAAGTAAACATCAAAAGAATAGAAATATAATCATTTCCAAACTAGCCAAGGAAAACAAATAAAGAAAACAATCCAACAGAAGACACAAGGAACAGCCCACTACTATAAATAGAAACAGTAAAATGGCAGAAACATGTCTAAATAGATCAGCAATCATAATGAATATAGATTAACTCACCTGTTAAGAGATATTCT